CAAAAATTGATAGTATAAGTGTTTGTTCCTGCTTGTGCGTATGTATAAGTGTTTGTTCCTGTCTGTGCGTATGTATGCGTATGTGTGTATGTATGTATGCAGTATATTTATTAGCATTTTTGATTTCTAGACTGACGAAAGCTATGAATCTATCACCACGAATGAGAGGGTTAAATGAGCCTTCACATTCTTTTAGTTCTCACCTATAAATACGCGAAAGATTTTTTGGCGAGCGAAGATTTCAAGACTAGAAGAATTAAGAAAGTGTTCCTTGTCCGTTTGTGACCCAAGGAATTTAAATTCAGTTTTTACCCACCCAAAGCTCTAAAGTGCCAACAAACGTAATGCCAACATGGATAGAAAGCTACAATTTTGCGGCTCTGATTTCTTCTCACATATGTGACTCGGAATGTAAATTGGGCTTTCAGGATGTGTTAAGCAATGCAACTCAAACAAATGTATGTAAAGAAATTCTTGAAATTACCTCAGGCTCTTTTGATTTTCCGGTTGTCTCTTCCTCTTTAGTACCTGTCTTCTAAAAGCAGTATTTTTTTTTTATTTTTTCGACTATTTTAAATTTTATTTTAGAATTTTTATCTATATTTAACTTTTTTTTAGTTCAGTTCAACTTTTGATTGTCACCAGGTTCTTTGGGAGCCATAGCATGGATTTTTCAATCCCGCACAAGGGAGCGCCCACTACTGATGAAAGGGTTTGACTGCCGTAGAACAATCTCATCAGTTTCTCATCTCAGAAAAGTGCTACCTTGCTTTTATCCTTTATTATACCAAAAATGACAAAATCGAAATAACTGAAACAACTGGTATGAGGATCGTGTATTAGTGATGTTGCTGGTGTGCTGTTACATACTTGGCGCAGCAACACCAGACTTTTCGATCTTGAGCTGGATACTTCAAGTCTGTGCCCAAGCCATGCTAGCATTGAAGTTGGCACCCAAGTTTGTTCAACAAATGCGCAGAACTCCTCGAAGACAGGCCAGTTGGTTATTTGCTTTCTTATGGCACTAGTTGTCGATTAGCAACATCTCGCTGTTTATCAACAAAGCAAGCCAACAAGCCCTGCCCATCGGATTTTACTTTTTAGTGTGGCTGCAATGATATCCTGCACGCCGCTTATCTGATGGAGAATTAAACGGCTTCTACTGCTGCGATGAGACTTTTCAAATAGCCTTCGTCTCATTTCTCTCTCATTTGCAGCCAGCGCTGACTCCTCTGCTTACGACAGTGAGCATATTTCGCATCCACACATCATCTACTTCCACAGAGTCTTACTAAATAAGATTTGAGAAGTCGGCAGCGGTGTGAAGCTTGTACCAGTCGACAGTCTTTTCACTTACTGTTTCCTATTACACCCGATGAAAACAGTAGTGCAACGGAATTGGGAGCCGTAAACAAAAACACTCCATTTTATATATGTTCCATTATTATAGTCTCATAGAACCACTGTACTCCGTAAACGTTTAGAAATGTTTAGGGAAGAGTTTGTAAGCAGCAGAAATTTTAAATAACTGGCCTTTGTGTTACTGGTAGTTTCCCCTGAATAATTTTGTGCAAGCGTCTCCTCTTCTGTCCCTGTAACGCTTTCTCGCGCAGAGGCGCTTGTAGACATTGAGATTCTACAACAGAAGCTACAGAGAATCAGTAAGAATGCTGGAAGTGACATGGAGAATATAGGGACACAAGCTATTGTCACTGCGTCTTTACGGTTTTTTGTAAACATGATTTTTCTCAGTACTCGATGTTTATGTTTACGGATCCATCGTTATTTATGTTCTGTTCAGCCAGCACGTAAAGATTTGTTTCTGGAGGGGCCATTAAAAGATGAAGCTCGGGCAACCTTCTGATCAACATACCCATAGCAATCAGTTCTTTAGGACGCAAATGTAAAAAGTTTTTAGACAATGAGCACTGAGAGGAGCATTAATGCTAATTACACTTCCACAAAAGAGTCAAAAGAATAGGGAACTTAATATTCGCTCCGGTTTTTATTTATTACTTTTTATGCATTTTGTGCTGTGCAGCAGCAGTACAAAACGCATATTGTTATGGAGTTGTCTATGTGTAAGTGTGTGTGTCCCACATTTTGTCCCACACTTTCAACTCGGGGATCGTAACAGCTGGGCGGCTGAATTTTTAGTATAGTGTTCCCCGCCAACAGGTGACGAGAAAAATTTAAATTCAACCTTGCTGTACCCGCGGGTAACACGTATAACCTCTCGGGAACCACAGAAGCTGGAAAAATGAAATTTTATGAGTACGCCCTCTACCCACGTGTGTCCCAGGGAGTTTAAACTCAACCTTCCCATGCCTGCGGGTAATATGCACGACCACGTAAATTTTTAGTGGGTAGAATCACTATCTCAGGAAACGCGGAGGCTAGAGAGCTGAAATTTTATGGATATGCCCCCTGACCAAGTGCAACCTAGAAAATTTAAATTCAGTCTTCCTGTGCACTTGGGTGTCGCGTACGGCCCCGTGGAAGTTTTGGCGGAAAATTATCTCGGTAACCGTGAAAGCTG